AAGCGCTGCCACTTTTCACTCCTTCTGCTTCTCCTCTTCTGTCTCTTCTCTCTTCTCCTCCTTGGCCAAACTATCGGCGGCGGCGGCCGCTGTTCCACCTCCCGCACCGGAGAGGGTCGAACTTAAATTGCTTTCTTTTTTCCATTTCATCCTCCGGTTTTGAAACCAAATCTTGATTTGCCGTTCAGTCAGGCAAAGAGCGTTGGCGATTTCGATCCGCCTCCGCCTCGTCAGGTAACGGTTGAAATGAAATTCTTTTTCCAGCTCCAACGTTTGGTAACGGGAATAAATCTGACGGCCCCGCCGGCGATCGGCCCCGTAGCCCACGCCTGGGGGAACCGAGACAAAACACACTAAAAATGGTGAGCGAGGAGGGGGGGGGCAGCGCCCGACCCCCCCCCCCCCCCCCCCCTCCCCTTTTTTTTTTTTTTTTTTTTCCTCCCTCCCCCTGTTTTTCCTTCTTTATTTTCTCTCTTTTTCCCTTTGGTTTGCTCTATTTTTCCTCTTTCGTTCCTCTATTTTTCCCCTTTATTTTCTCTATTTTTCCTCTTCAGTTTCTCAATTTCCTCCCTTTACTTTCCCCATTTCCCCTTTATTTTCCCATTTCCCCTTCACTTTCCTAATTCCCCCTCTATTTTCCCCATTCCCCCTCTATTTTCCCCATTCCCCCTCTATTTTCCCCATTCCCCCTCCATTCTCCCCATTCCCCCTCCATTCTCCCCATTCCCCCTCTATTTTCCCCACTCCCCCTCTATCCTCATCATTCCCCCTCTATCCTCCCCATTCCCCTTTTATTTTCCCCATTTCCCCCTCTTCATTTTCTCCATCATTTCCCCTTTTTTATCTCTCTCTCCCTCCCTCTCTCTTTCCCTCCTTCTTCTTCCTTTTCTCTCTTTATTTTTCCCTTCCACCTCTTTATTTCCCCCCACACTCCTTATTTTCCTCTCCCACCTCTCTGTTCTCCCCTCCATTTTTCTCTTTTTCCTCCCTCTTTTTCTTCTTCCTCTCTATTTTCCCCGTCTCAATTTTTTCCATTCCCCCCTCTTTCTCCTCTCCTTTTCCTCTTTCCCCATCCCCTCTTTCATCTCTTTCTCCTTCACCTCTTCATTCCTCCATTTTCCCCCTCTTTCCTCTCTTCCCCCCCCTCCCTTTTCCCTCTCATCCCCCCTTTTCTCCCCTTCCCCTCTTTTTCTCTCCCCATCCCTCTCTTCTCCCCCACCCCCCCGTTTTCCTCCCTTTCCCACCCAATTTGAGGGGAGAGGGGAGGGCGATGCCCCCCTCGTCCTGCTTGCAGCACAACCCCACTTTCCACCCCCGTCATTAAAACTTATTTCCCCCCAGTAATATTTTGTGCTTAACTCCCGAGCAGAGCTCGCTGCACTTTATTATAGATATTTTACACTCTCGAAGTCTTTTAATTAGAAAGAGCATAACAAGCCATATTTGCTTGCAACAACTTAACAAATAAAAGGCCTGTAGCTGCAACTGTGAAGGAGCTATATTATTGTTTTTATGGGGCCATAAAAAGTCGCTCAGCCTGTTCTGCTAGGGAGAAGGTCGTAAAGATGGTTCAGTTTATTTAATTTATATCTCCGAGCTGTAAAACTTACCACTGTGGGAGTTCATACGCTGCATCCATGGGTATATTTGAATGCTAGTTTTTTGTTCTTGCGAAGTGTTCCTGTTTTGGTCACTGGTAAAATCCTGTGCGATTGATGTCTGTGTATTATGTCCCATAGAATTTTGCCTGCAGCTAGAAAGCATGTCTTTTTCTTGGTAAAAAGCATTAGATCCATAGTCATAAGGTCCTCGGCTGGAGCTAAACACAACATTATCTTGCGGTGAATAAAAAGGAGAAGAATAAATCCGGTTTTGAGCAACGGCTGCTCCATAAGTAGAAAAATGCCTGACAGGGTCATAGGCAGTTGAATTGAGGGCTACGTTGGGAAGCACCTCTTGGCCACTGGTTAGATGGCAGGATAAAGATGGGTTTGTGAAATAGGAATTCATATCGTCCTCTATACCTGGCTGTGTGATTTCTTTAATATTTATTTCTGTCTCCAGTTTGTAGTCTGAACTAGATTGTTATAGGGAAGGCTCTGCTCCAGGACAGACAAAATGACAAAGTCAGCTGACCCGGGGGGAACCAATGGGGAGGCGGGTGTCAAAAAGGGAAAAATTGCTTTTGCTTCTGTTGATTCCCTAGTTGAAACTAAGTGTGCATTGAAAGTAAGTCCTGAATCCCCCCCCCCAAAAACGACCCCCCCCCTCCTTCTTTCCCCAAGGCGACTCCGGGTTTTGTTTTTTTTTTTTAGGGGGGGGGGGGGGAAGGGGAAAAGCGGAGCCCCCCCGAAA